TGTGTCCGCCCTGTCCGGTCCCTTCCTACCAACTCGGAGGTCCGCGGCAAGATGTTTCATCTGGCTATCCTGTTGGAGATCAAGCGAGATACATGCCTGAAATTCGATTCGGCCCGATCTCAAACCCCACAGTAACATCAGCCGTGTTTGGCCCAACAGACATTATTAATGTGAACGGGAATCAAAAAGCACACACTGCCCGAATCCGACTACCCTTTTCACTGTTACATCACTGACTACATAGAGGAGAGAATGTTTCTGCTGAGAGAATACATTTGTGGCTTGGGAAGTTGATGGAAAAGAGATCTAAACTTGAATCCTACTTCTCGAAATCCTCTCAAGTACGCTGCACTTGACTGATACTGACCGGACCCGGCCTTTGTGATTTGAGATGTCAAGGTGAGTTTTCAAGTTGTTTTACTATAGTCTAATATCACACGGTTTGAATGGCATCTTTTTCTCTCCTCCCTCGTTGCAGGATCCTGATGTCGCGGCGCCGGGCACCCTTCACAAAACATGGGATGCCTGCTATGCCCTACTTGTCACTCCTGGCCAGGGACGTCTCCACGCAGCCCAGCTGCGTGAGACACTGACTATTCATTAGGTCGATCGTGTGCGGGGCATAAATTAGCCGCATCCCTGTGCAAGCTCCGAGCGGTACAAAAGAGCTGAACAGACAGGGGTCCTGCAGCTCTTCTCGCATTGTCGCTCTCTCTTTCGCAGCTGATTTTTGCTGTACCCACCCGCCCGCATTCCTCGTAGCTTAGCCCCTGTGTAGTTACACACGATATGTATGTAGCCGATGATCCCGTTTATACATATCTTCTTGGGGATCCCGGCTCGAAGCCGGAATTCGCTGCCTCGCTAATCTCCTCGCTCATTCATGAGTAAATTAGGAACACTTTGCAGCGGGGTTGCGGCTTCCACCACTTCAAATAAGTGATTCCCGCTATGTATATAGAGGGTTTTTTGGGGGGAACTCAAAAATGAACTCATTGGCGTTTCATACGATTCTTTATGGTTATACCCTGCCTTTTTTTGGCAGGTTCGGCTCGCCTCGGCACTGATAACATCAGCACATCATCCTCTGATTGATCCTCCTTTGCGTCGGCCCACCACACGACCTTTCTCCGCTCGGATTGTTGGCTTTAAGGCTTATTACCATGCCAATTCCCTCCGAGGCTGAAATTTCAGCAAAGTGAACATCTCCCAGCTTTGGATTGCCCTCATCTATGCCAGTCAAATGCCAGTTCCATGGCTAGGTTGAGTTGTAAAAGTTGATTCTGGCGTGTATAGGCTCAACACGCTCCTTGATACCCTTCTGTGCATAGTGAACAGAGAGTCACCAAAATATCCTGCCACGTCTCCCATTTTCTTACAATGCTCTGGGGGCTCCGACAAACTTCCTACTCTATCCCCGTCACACCTCACCGTGGTTGAACAAGAGTATAATTGTGACGAAACTTGGACTCAACTTCGACAAGTCGAATTGAATACTGTTCACTGCGAGCCACCCAGCGCCGCATGGGTTGATATTACTGCTATTGTCCATGTTGCCATCCTATGTTGAATTTATGTTTAGATTTTTTCATAAACCACATTTTTCTACATTTCCTATTCAGACTCAGACTCAGAAAAGCCATTTGAGCGACCTCCTTACAACTAAACTTACCTGGTCTGAGTGTCGCTGACAACACCCCAATGGCCAAGGGGAAAGAAGTGTGCCCTTGCTTTTCAATGCCACGTTGGCCACAAGTTTGGAAGACACCATATAGCGGGCTCTGCCGCGAAGCGGGCTTCATCGGTCATTTCACAGTACATTTGCTGGGTCAAGAACAGAGTCCGATCGTGGTGCCTGTCATTTTCCGATGTCCATGCCTCTGTTGGAACCTGTTTGTCTCCTTCGCTTTCAAACGTGGTTCAAGCCGTTTGGGAAATTTGTTCCGAAGACTCTGAAAATATAATCAGGGGTATTCTGGAGTTTGTTTTTTTGGTGACTCGAGCTCCTGTGTTTCTCGGCAACTCGACATCAGCCACGGCCGCGACCAAAAAAAAAAGTGTCTCCGCGACGTCAATTTGCTGCTCATAAAAATTCGGTATAGACGTTCTGTAATGGTAAGGCACGAGTGATTGAAGGGTTTTTAGGCCAAGTGGATCTTCGGAGAGCAGGAGTCTGCCTCTTTCTCTTGATCCAGGACCAGCCTCGCTCTCCAACCATGTCTTTCCGACTCCTTTTTTCTGCTGATGGTTGTGGATCATGGCCACTTTTCTCTGTGCCCTGGCTGTCGTCTACCTATGATGGGTGCTTCTGGTGCGACTCCTATCGGTGAGTGGCATCTCTATTCTGACTCGGAGCACTCCTGAGTTTCGACTCGGAGTCTGTTCTCACTCTTGGGTAATCTGATTCAGAGTCCTTCTGTGTCTGCTGGTTCTCTTTTTGCTGACCCAAATTGTTTGCATAGCTTAGGCCAGAGACATCGGCCCGTCAGGCGGCGGGGTCGGGAAGCTCTGGATCACTAATAGCTGACGTTGGCCGAGACGGCGCTGCGCAGTGGCCGCTCGGCAAACTTTGGCAAGATGCTCGATGAAGTGACGGCAACGATTCGGCATCACCAGAATGTTGCTTTGATGTCTATTATAGGAAGCCGTAATTTACGTGTAAACGGACGGTTACGGCCCCACGTAAACGGGTCGAGCCATACCCTTCCCGTGCCGTATGGGAACTTCGTTGACACTGCCAGGACGCGGGTGTAACCATATTTACGCCACGTAGTCCCGTAAAATTACGGGACGGCTTGATGCCCTTACTCGGATTCTCATCCTCGTCCATACTCGACATCTCTTGTCATTATTCTAGAATCCATTCGGCACACAAATCTTAACTATATCGGCCCCTAGATTCGAAACTTGGTCCGGAATTTGCCACGCCGTTTACAACTCGAGTCCGAGTCCCTCTGAAATAGCCAACATGTTTGGATGTGTTCAATCACGCAAACCCTTTACTCTCACTATATCCAATATTTGACACCACCCCTCCATTGCAATGCATGGTGTTTGTGTGCGCTTCACAGCGGCTATCAAAAAATGTTCCAGTCTAATGTTATTCTTATGACTACATTTGTAAAAGGGAAATTTTGCTCACCCAGTAGCTTTCAGTTTGTAGTGGTGTAATGAAAGGCCCAAGAAAAATGCTTTACCTTGCATTTTTTCCTTGTAATGGGCCGGCATTGGACAATATCCATCCATTTCGACACTGGAAGGAGAGGTCAGAATGGACTTCAATAGAGTGATACACGGCTTTGTTAATGCTGCATTGTACATAGCACAAGCTAACTTTTGGAGGCATGGCTGTGTATTGACAGCACTTCAGCGGCTGCCTCCACAGGCTCCAGGTCCCGTTGGGCTAATTTATCGATGAAAAAAATTGAATTAGTGCAATTGAACATGTTTACATCGATTGCAGAATTCTCTGTCAATCGTGGTCACTCATTTAACGGTGCTGCCTTGCTAAGGTGGAGAAAATCAACAGGTCAGAATTCGTGAAGATACAGCTTACAGTAGTGGAATTAGTTGAAAGTTGAGAAAAGGCAGTCCAGACTCCGATTCCGGATAAGCTAGTCTCTGGAAATTACGATTTAAAATGGTATGTTGGTATATGTTTGGCAAAGGTGATTAAAACGCGACTTGTCACGTGATTTAATGCAACGACCTGTTGCCAGTGTTGGGCTGGGCTTTTTTAAAAATGTCAAATCTTCTGTAGTACTTAGAGAAGTTCGAGTTTCTGCTGTGCTATGCGGCGGCCCTAACCCATACGGATTAACCACATCTCAATTATGGCCGCGACTCCTTCAAGCCCGCCGACTTCGTGCTCAGAAAAGTGCTCTCGGTGACGCACATAACACCTGATGCACGGTGTGGGCATGTGTTTGGCAGCGGCCAACGAAAGATGAACCAAATGTTCTAATGTATTCTAACTACCATATTTAATAGAGAAAAAAAGTTTGCTCGACTAATAGTTTGCAGTCTGATGTGGCGTAGTAAAAAACCTAAGCGAAATGCTTGCCCTTGCATTTAGCCTCGTAGTCAGCACAACGTTGGACGATCTCCTTCGTTTCCCCGATTTTGATGTCGATGTAATCGATTTCGACATCGGGTGGCACGGTTGCGATTGAGCTGTATGCTGGGTCGTTGATGCTACACTGAACGTAGCACAGACCGGCTTTTGGGAGGTACGGCCAGGTGTTGAAGAGCGCTTTGGCGGCTGCTTCCGGGTCTGTTTGAGCCAATTTATTTCTATAAAGAATGATTCAGGCGGTTGAACACGTTGAAAATAGAATTACATTGATCGTACTATATTTTGGCGTTCACGTTCAGGCAAATACGGGTGCCACATTGGTAGCGCTGAAAAAAAAACACGTGAAAGGAGCCGGAATTGACCGAGAACCAACTTACAGTGGTGGTAAACGGTTGAGAAATGAGAAAAGCCGAATTCAACTCCGATCCCGCAGTATATGCCGGCGGCGCCCCTCACCGGCAATTCCCAGACTCGAAAATAAAATAGAATAAACAAAAATGGTGGGCTAGATCTTTATTCGTATCTGTATATATATGATTGGGATACGCGTAAAGTCACGTGACGTTGACGGATGGACTGAGCGGATTTTTCTGGAAGTTTGGAAAAGTTGACGGATCCTCGAGAGCTGTGAGTTTATTTGTTTTACTTTTGATAGTGTAACCAAATTCTCAAGACATCATTGAACGAGTCTGCGCTTTCTGATGAATGGAGGATATCTGATACTCACAATGAGGACGTCTAAACCGAACGGCATTTTGCCAAACTTGGCCTGAGGTGAACCTACAATTGGCGCGTGATGGAGCGCGACGGGATATTAGGGAGAGTTAAAATCTGAAGAACCTCACTCAGTCCCGCCACCGTGGTCATCAGGAGACAAGTATGACACCAAAAAGAACGAGGGCAAAATAGATAGAATGTACAAATATGGCATCAGTACAAATCGAACATATGACTCCAATTGAAACATGGTGGATAATAAACTCCATTCACTGAAGGTGTGTTACCACTACACTACGATGCCAGTAAGTGAGATGAAGCTGCAGCTGCCAACTCATTGTCTCCCTTCCGCATCTGCCAGCAACTACCTTCCCATTCACCATTCGCTCGTCCTCCGCACACTCACCAGAAAAGATTCGGGTTTTCTGAACTGACCACACTTTCAACGTGTACAACTAAGTAACCTGTACGTGGATTAACAAAGAAGTTCGAGTTTTTGCCGGGCGACGCCACGGCCCTACACCCCAAGTTGGAAACAATTGCAGAGTTAAACAGCTTGGATGATGAGCAAGTTGTTGAAGCTCTAAACGAGTTGAAAGGAAGAAGACGTTATATCCGAGGCTCTGGGAACCAGATGAACATCGAGTTGGTTGCCAAAACACTCGATACCCAGAAGCGCTTCAAACTATCAGTGTTACTAGACTGTGGATGCACGGGCAGTTGCATAGATGCTTCTTTTGTGAAAGCCAATAAAATCAACACAAAGAAGTATCCCCGTCCAATTCCGGTCTACAACGCAGATGGCACATTGAATACCTCCATTCTTCGATATATGATGTAGGATATCTACGGCATACTCTAAAACACACTAGGACAGCATGTACGACAGGAACGAACGAGGCATCACGCCTTGGTCGGAGGCACGTGACCGCGATGGAGACACACAGCGGCAGCACCCAAGCAGCACCACGATTGGTAACGCCGCATCGTGGGACGCGAGTAGCGGGATGAACCTACTCACAAAAGAAAGTAGCGGGAAATGGATTGAGTCACAAAATTAGTAGCGGGATCACAAACCTGTCAAATGAATGTAGCGGAAAACGTAAGATTTCCGCTACACTCTTTTGGTCCGATGTAATTCAAAAATAGTAGCGGAAAGTGGTCATTTCCGTAATATAAGTAGCGGAAAAGGCAAATTCCCCAAAAAGTGTAGCGGAATATTACAGCTGTTTGCAGAACTTAGGGCGCGGCGTGTTTTTTTTTTTTTTTGTAAGTTTTCACGAGAACAGCGATTGCGGGATCATTTCTTAACCGTTTGCCCTGGAAATAGGCTCATTCGATTCACACGGAAAGAGCGGAGGGCCTCATCTCTTAGGTTTTTTTATGGGCACCGAAAATTTCCTTTTTGGGATAGATTCCCGTGTTTTTCAGTGGTTGAGCGGAGAACACGTCCCACGGGACCTATTTTGCTCCGATTAACCTAGATTTTTATTATGGTGGACTTCAACATATTCCGGAGGGCCTGATACACCGGGATAGTAAATGTGAACCTTGGTTTGTATCTACCATACACTTTGGGATCAACAATATGAAAGGAATGTATCTATGAACTGTATATTTGAAGTATTGATCCCATTCAAAATACCGGTATTTCAGGCCCTCCGGAATATGTCAAAGTCCACCATAATAAAAATCTAGGTCAATTGGAGCAAAATAGGTCCCGTGGGACGTGTTCTCCGCTCAACCACTGAAAAACATGGGAATCTATCCCAAAAAGGAAATTTTCGGTGCCCATAAAAATACCTAGGAGATGAGGCCCTCCGCCCCTTCCGTGCAAATCGAATGAGCCTATTTCCAGAGCAAACGGTTGAGAAATGATCCCACAATCGCTGTTCTCGTGAAAACGTACCAAAAAAAAAAAAAACACGCCGCGCCCTAAGTTCTGCAAACAGCTGTAAAAGTGCACTTTGACCGCCATATTTATTGGCACACTTCAGATTTCCGACACTTTTATTGACCGCACTCAAATCCCCGACACTTATATACACTGCGTTTCCTGAAAAATATCTACTAGGTGAATACTTTTGTATACCTCAGGTATCCGTTGATATCTAACAGTATCCGACAGTATCCAAACATATCCGATGGTTTGAGACCCCAGGTATTGCCCACGACAGATACTTCAGGTATCTATGATGTTATTGATAGGTATCCACCAGAGTATTACAAGCTTTCAACACAGGCAACACCTCAAAGATCCTCCAAGGTATCCAAAAGGTATCCCAACACAGGATACCACAGATATCCACAGTATGATCCAAGACGATACCGTAGACATAGAGGTATCAGCAGTGGATAGCTCCTGATTGCCACAAACAACATTTAAAAGGCCACTCGGGGACGATCTTTCTAGTTCTCGCAACCCCCCCGCTACTGATGAGTCCCAAGTCGTCTCCTCAGCCTTCTCCGTGGTGCCGCTTGATGTCACGATGGCCCGGCATTCGCGGACTTGCTGACGACAGGGTAATGGTAAGTCCCGGCGGCCTACTTGCGTCCTCAGTGAGTCCCACCGGAATCCCACAGTAAACAAATTATAAACATTTGCGGTGAGCGCTGAGATGCTTCCCATGCACTGACTGGACTTGATGCCAATAACGACTCTATGCGCCCCGATTGATGAGGGGAGGACATGTCCAGAATATTTGGTTGCGTAGACTTATGTAGGCAGTGTTTGAAGTTGGGAGCCTCTGTCCACTAATTATATTCATGTACAATTTTCTCGCAAATTATTGTCGTTTACTCTCTGACGCTCGGAAGAATTACTGAGGCCATTTAAGAATTCAATTGGTGTCTGGAGAGAATTCGAAATATCCTGCTGTGGATTGCATAATATATTCAAAGTATCTGTAGGTGGATATCATCCGATATGGAACTATCCACCCAGGTATCGACCAGAGGATAGCGAGGGTATCACACTCGCAGATATCTTGTGATATTCCATATATCCGCCTGGTGGATATCATCTGATATTGTAACTATTCACCCCGATATCCACCACATAATACCCGAGATATTTATGTACCAGATACCTGCTGATATGAGAGGTATCCATACGGATATCCAATAGGTGGATATCTTGCAGAAAACGCAGTGATATATACTTTGATGGGTCAAATTTTCCGACACTTTCTTTTTGGGCATCTGTGGCTCTTGACAGCGGACCGGCAACCGACGGCGATGGCGACTCAACAGCAACACCAAGAGGCCAACGTCGTCATGTGACATAAGACGCGTCCGTGCGCAATGTTTGTCACTGTTGACATGAGTCACGTGCATGTTGGTGGTCCCTGGGCCTTTCTGAGTTTCTTCCTTTCAAATTCCTCGTCGCACCTCTTCGTCGTCCTCTCCTCGTAGTTCCAGTGATAGATGTCCAGTGGGCAACTTGTAGCCTCTCACCCCTCCGAGTCCATCAAGTGCGTAAAAAGACGCCTGCAGATTAGACGTTACTGATGTGGCCTCTCACAGGATATCTGGCCTCCGTGAACACGTTGAGGCCATCGCCTCGATGATAACTGTCCAGAGGGAGGTGCTCAGGGAGCTGGAAAAGAAAAAGAGCGACGTCCAAAGTCAGCTCAACGCCATCCTTGATCCGATCGCGCGGTTACCCCTGGAGCTTTCCGTTGACATATTCATGCGCTGCCTCCCCGATTCTTTCTACCCGGATAAACGCTACGCACCCATGCTGCTGCTCAACGTCTGCCGATCCTGGACCAATATCGCCCTTTCCACTCCTTCCCTATGGGCCGCCATTGACATCGAGTGTCCACGAGAGAACGAAGCCGAGTTCTCAAAGCTTATGGACCTTTGGTTCGCTCGCTCACGAACCCGACCTCTCTCGGTTTCCTTGCACGGGGCCCCCGATATGGGCGACCTCGACCCGCGCGTCCCCGCCGCGATACAACGGGCTGCAGGTCGCGTGGAGAATCTGCAGCTTTACCTCCACTCCGAGGACCTCGAACGGATGAAGATGCCCCTCCCGTCTTTGAAAACATTCGTCATTGGAAGAGGGCCCGAGACCGAAGGGACATATGATCATGATACCGCCCTCGATATGGTCACCTGCATCGCCATCTTATGTGCAGCTTCGAACCTCGTCGAGTGCACATTTGACCGTGTCCGCTTCCAAGGGCAGGATGATGTTACTTCAATATCGAGGCATTCCACTCTCCGGCGTTTACAGTTGGGAGAAGATCGGAGTGTTGAAGGCAGTGCTGATGTTCTGCGATATCTCACCCTCCCCTCTCTGGAAAGGCTCTCGATTTCCCACTTTGACATCGAATGCGACACATTCCTTCATTTCCTAGCCCGGTCCTCACCGCCATTGCAGTCATTATCGATTCACATCGCCTTCGAATGGTCCCTGGAACAGGTGGACAGTATTTGCCGGCTTCTCCCATCTCTAACGCATCTCGAGCTCCAATTTGCACGATCTACGGACAGTTATTCAGCACCACCTGGGGACTATTTCCCAATCTTCACGCTGCTAGGGACCTCGTCCCAGGGGATCCTCCCAAATCTCCGCAACCTCACGATGAATGGATATGCCCCGGGCCATCCGCAGTACAAGCAGTTGCTTACCATGCTCTCTGCGCGTAGCTCCCGGCTGAAAACATTCCGTCTTGTGGTGCACAAAACTTCCCGTGCCAATCGCCCTCGATCACCGGATGTCAAGCCCCAGGCTGGGATCGTGAAAGCGTTGCAGGGACTTGTAGCAGCTGGGATGAAAATCCACGTAGGCCGCCAAGGATGTAATTGGATTTGTGCTTAGCCCGTCAAGATCGCCTATCTATGACTGTTTCTACGGAGAGCCTAGAGCTCGCCCGCAGTTCGGCTTCGTACTGTCTCGTTCCTTGCTATGACTGTTTTTACGGAGAGCCCAGAGCTCGCCCGCAGTTCCCTATCACGCTGACTGCTGGTGTTGTTCCTTTAGGAACAACAGGATGATGAGGGATGATGGGATGATGCGTGCATTTTCCGCTTTCCTACCAATTCCGGCCCTTTTTCTTCGGGCATTTTTCGTTATCTTTTCAACCGATCCACCATTGTCGCCCCTATCGATGCGGTTGATACACAGTGCTATGAATCCTCCCACAGTGTTACAACAGCTATATCAAACTTTTTGCGCTATATAATCAACCAGGGAACTATGCCCCACAGACATTTTCCTGATGTGTTCTGGCGCGTCGAGTGGGCGCCATCGGACGCGCCGGGGTGGGACGTCGGAGAAGAGGCGGCGGCTACTTG